ACTGAAGCACTCATGAGGCAGAGGGCTGCGCGCCCTGGGGACCCACCCTCTTTGTGAGTTCGGGCTCAGTGAGGGGCTGGGTTTGCCCGGAAGCACAGCCGACCAGCCCTGGCGGAGCCGTGAGCTCCTGGCGGCCAGTTTGCCCTGCCGGGGGCGGGCGGATCTGATGGATGACCTTCCCTCAGTGAGAAACAGGTCAATGCATCATCTCGCCGGCTCTCAGCATCTTTGCAGCAGAGGGCAGGGCAGGGGGAGTCTCCCCCAGGGCCTCTGGCTCCCTTGTCAGAGGGCCTTCCCCTGTCCTGGGAGGTGACCCCCTGCACCTTCCTGGAAGTGCTCTCAGGCACGGGATGGGGCCTGTGTCCTGGGTGTCTCCCAGGTGGCCCTGTAGGAGGCCCACGGAGTGCAGGGCTCACCGTGAGGCCCTCTAGGAGGCCCACGGAGTGCAGGGCTCACCGTGAGGCCCTCTAGGAGGCCCACGGAGTGCAGGGCTCACCGTGAGGCCCTCTAGGAGGCCCACGGTGTCCAGGGCTCACTGTGAGGCCCTGTAGGAAGCCCAAGGTGTCCTGAGGTCACTGCGAGGCCTTCTCGGAGGCCCACGGTATCCTGGACTCACTGTGACTCACTGGGTTAATGAGGCCCTGCCCAGGGAGTCACCCTGAGGCTCTGGGGACCGGGGGCCCAGGAGGTGGGGGTGACCAGTGTCCCAGAGCAGGGCCCAGGCAGGGAGCACCCAGGGAGCAGGCCCTGGCGTCCAGGCTGTTGGCCCCAGTGCCAACCAGACCTGCTCACACTGCCCGAGTGTGGACCCTGCAGAGGCCGAGTATGGCTGGGGGCACCCAGCCAGCTCTCCCCGTGTGGACACTCCAGGTGTGGACAGAGCCCCGGCCAGCCCCCTCCCTTCTGCCTTGCCTGTAGCTCAGCCCCTCTTTGCCACATCCCCTGGCTTCCGCAGGTTCCTAGCTGGCTTCCGGGTGGAAACTGAAATACAGCTTCTGAGGCTTGCTCTCCAGTTGGGAGCTGGCAGTCCTAAACACGGCTCTCCCATCAGCAGCGTTAGCCGTGCAGGGCTTGTTCCTGGGGAAGAGTGTCCTCTGCACAACGCAGGCATTGCGGGCCTGGGGGGACAGGGGGGACGGGGAGAGGAGGAGGGGTTGTTTTCAGCAAGAAGGGTTCTGTGGATCTGCAGTGTTTGCCAGTTTGTGTTGTGTGTCCTTTCTACGATCAGCCCTGAATTCCTGACCTCCAGCATCCTAAGACATAATAAAGTCAAAATTAAATGGCGCTTTAAAGTTTAGAGGAATTTGCTCTGCAGCCTTGAATATTAATCAGTCGGTAGCCCTGGACGTGGGCCCACTCCCTCTGGCCTGTCTCCTGCCTTGTTGTGGGTGGGGGTCTCAGCAGGCTGGGCTGCGGGGAGCTTCCGGGGGCACCAGGACGGCTGCCAGCCTCGAAGACCCCCTCCGGCTGAGCAGCGTGGAGTCGGGAGGACTCTGGTTCACCCTTCCGCCCAGGCACCTGGCTAGGTGTCTCTCCCGCTGCAGGCGCTCGGGGGCTGCGGCAGGGCAAAGCCGTATGAGTGGAGAACGCCCGTCTGCTAGCCTGGAAGGGGCGGCGGCCCACGGCCGCAGGAGGAGCCAGCCCTGACGCCAGTGTGGAAGCCGGAGCCTTCCGGGGAAGAGGGGGCAGCAGGACCTGGACCAGCTCCCAGGACAGGGCGGCACTGCCCTCCAGGGTGGCCGAGTGAGGGGACAAGGTCACGGGGATGCCCAGCTGGCATAGCGGCTTAGCCCTGGACGTGGGCCCACTCCCTCTGGCCTGTCTCCTGCCTTGTTGTGGGTGGGGGTCTCAGCAGGCTGGGCTGCGGGGAGCTGCTGGGGGCACCAGGACGGCTGCCAGCCTCAAAGACCCCCTCCGGCTGAGCTGCGTGGAGTCGGGAGGACTCTGGTTCACCTTTCCGCCCAGGCACCTGGCTAGGTGTCTCTCCCGCTGCAGGCGCTCGGGGGCTGCGGCAGGGCAAAGCCGTATGAGTGGAGAACGCCCGTCTGCTGGCCTGGAAGGGGCGGCGGCCCACGGCCGCAGGAGGAGCCAGCCCTGACGCCAGTGTGGAAGCCGGAGCCTTCCGGGGAAGAGGGGGCAGCAGGACCTGGACCAGCTCCCAGGACAGGGTGGCACTGCCCTCCAGGGCGGCCGAGTGAGGGGACAAGGTCACGGGGATGCCCAGCTGGCATAGCGGCTCTGATGAGAATGACTGCCCCAGAACCGGGGTGCCCGGCTGACGGAAACCCTGCAAAGCCAGTCCCTTCCTGGGGACCCTGGATGTGGACGGGTGAGGTGTGGGTGGTCGGTGGGAGGGAATCCACTGAGCGGACTTCAGCTTCCAGTGGTGGGAACCTGGGGCAGGGTCTCATCTTTGCCACGTTCTCTGAACCAGCTTCCTCTGGGTTACAGGGAAATTAGGGGAGTTAGCAAAAATTGCTGCATAGTGCAGACACAAAGGTGACACACCTTCGTATGAAGACAAGTATGCCATAGTTAAGATGCTGGTGGGGAAACAAGAAGTGATGCCTGGAGTGGGTCAGCCAAGTGCAGAGAAGCCCGAAAACGCCAAAGCCCAGATCGCTGCTTCCTTCCCACGCCATGGGCGGTGGTCAGAGCGATGGGAGAGGCTGCAGTTTCCCCAAGAACCGCTAAGGCTGTCAGCAAAATTAAATTCTGCTCCGTGTAATCTTTTAATTAATAGACTCTATTTTTAGAGCAGTTTCCAGTATACAGAGTGATCCAGTCTAAAGAACAGAATTCCCACGTTGCCCCCAGCGGACCCTCCTCTTATTCACGTCCTGCACGGCTTTCTACAGTTCGTGAGCGGTATTGAGGTGGTGTGGTTAGCCGAGTCCACGTACGTTTATCCCTTCGGGTTGCACCTCCTGTGGTTCTGACACGTTGCCCCATTACTGCCTTATACGGAAGCGTCTCCTCCCCCGGTGTCCTCAGTTCAGACTGCTCCTCGCCCCCTCCCCCGGCAACCGCCATCTCCTGTCTCCCCAGTTTGCCCTTTCTAGAACGTCATATGCTGCGAGCCCTACACTTTGCAGCCTGGCGTGTCTGACTGGATGGCGTGCGTGTCGGTTCCTCGGGGTCGTCCCCTTGCTCTCTAGTTTGATTTGTAAATGCTTATCGTGCCCTTGATTCCAGATGCAGAAAGCCACGTCATCGCGTTCAAGCGGCAGCCGCAGTCCCCACTCTGCGGGGCTGAGAGAGACAGGGTCCCCCAGCCCCCACCGCCGCTGTGGCCCCCCATCCTGGAGGGGCCCCCAGCCCCCGCCCCCGCGTGTGGCCCCGTCCCTGCAGCCTCCGCCCCCNTGTCTTTGGCCGGGGGCTCTCCGCCAGGCTGTGCCCTGTGCGCGCCCCGTGCGGCCCTCCCCCGGGCGGACCCCGGCCCCTGCGCGCCGCCCCGGGCCCTCAGGGCGCAGCGCTCCCTGGGAAGGGCCCTCTGGCCCTCCCTGCAGCCCCGACACTGAGGGAGGGCGTTCTTGTGCGCTCAGCCCTGCGCACTGTTAGAGAAACGCAGACGTGGGCCTGTTCCTATGGCGACGCTGTCTGGGCGACAGGGGATCGGTGGCCGCCCTTTCTCAGGCAGCCACGTGTCTCTGCGCGGCTCGGGCGGCCCTCGCCTCACGCGGTCCCTCTGCGGCTGTCACCACGGTCACGCTGCCTCCTGGAGACCCGAGCCCCTCGCAGGGCGTGAGGGCCCGCCGGCGTCTTAGGCGGGATCGCCGAGCCTGCCTCCGGGGGTGGAACAGCAAACAGGCCGCACGGAAGGCGGCTGCCGGTTCCCCCGACGGTTGCGAGAGATGCTGTCAAGAGTGGGGTGTGGAGCGCTCCGTAGATGCTCTTTGTTCCTGCTGGGCCTTGGGGAGTGAGGCGGCTTTCCGCTGAGCGCCAGTATCTCAGTTCAGTGCGGGCAACTCGCTTCTCCCAGGACAGCCTGCCTGGCCAGTGTCTGCCCCGGACGGCGCCCATCATGCGCGCGCGCGCGCACACACACACACACACACACACACACACACTCACTCACTCTCACACTCTCTCACAGTCTCCCCCCCCACACACACTCACACACAGTCTCACACACACACACAGTCTCACACACACTCACTCACTCTCACACACTCTCACAGTCTCCCCCCCCACACACTCACACACAGTCTCACACACACACTCTCACACACTCAGTCTCCCCCCACACACAGTCTCTCACACACACACTCACTCTCACACACAGTCTCCCCCCCCCACACACTCACACAGTCTCTCACACACACACTCACTCACTCACACACACACTCACACACACAGTCTCCCCCCCACACACACTCACAGTCTCTCACACACACAATCTCACACACACACACTCACACACTCTCACACACACAGTCTCCCCCCCACAGATTCACAGTTTCTCACACACACAGTCACACACACTCACACAGTCTCCCCACACACACACTCACACACAGTCTCTCACACACACAGTCTCACTCTCACACACACTCTCTCACACAGTCTCCCCCCCACACACAGTCNATCACACACACTCACACACACACTCACACACACAGTCTCCCCCCCACACACTCACACAGTCTCTCACACACACAATCTCACACACACACACTCACACACTCTCTCACACACACAGTCTCCCCCCCACAGATTCACACACAGTCTCTCACACACAGTCTCACACACACACACTCACACACACAGTCTCCCCCCCCACACACACTCACACAGTCACACACACACTCACTCACACACACACACTCACACTCACACACAGTCACAGACACATACACAGTCACACACACACTCTCTCTCACACACACACACTCTCACACACATGCACACACACACACACAGTCTCACACACACACACGCACACACTCTCACACACACACTCTCACACACAGTCTCACACACTCACACATACACACACTCTCTCACACACACTCACACTCACTCTCACACACACAAACACACACGCTCTCACACACACACTCACTCACTAGTAAAGAACCACGGAGCCCCAAGCCCGCCGCGCCTCCAGCAGGCAGCGTCCCCGAGCCGCCCTGAGCCTCAGGACAGGAAGGCGCGAGGCTCGTGACTTCCGGGAGGCGAGAACCGTGCGCCTGCGCGTGGGTCTGGGCTGATTCCCTCGGGGCGAGGCACAGGTGAGGGCCCAGCCGCTCTGCTCTGAGGGTGTGCGGGCGGGACGGCCAGAGGCGGGCGGCCGCCGGGCTCCCTGTCTGAGCGGTGAGCTCCCTGTCCCGCGGGAGCTCGGTCAGAACCTCCCTGTCACAGCGAGAGCGAGCTGGAGGCGGGGAGGCCTCACGCGGCCAAGGGCCTGCGCCGGACTGCTCCTGAGGTCGCAGGTCCTGTGGCTGCCCCCCAAAACTAGGACCCTCTCTGGGTTACCAGTCACATCATTCATGGTCCCCGTGCATTTCCCCAAGACAGTGTCAAGGAAATGTGTACTTTAAGAGGGAGTTAAGCGCCTCGGAGAAACGACTCATCCCAGGACTGAGGCAGGAAACATACCAGGTGAGCCAGAAAGCTAGGAAGCTCACAAACAGAAATAAAAGCAGGGTCTGACAGTGATTTGGGTGTGACCCAGGAGCTCGGGGCCGACTGGGGGAACGTCCCAGGGACCAAGGCTGGTGCAGTTTGAGCAACGGAACAAAGTCGTGTGGGATTATAACCTAGAGGATGAAATATAGGCCTGATGAGCTCAGTTCCGTTCAGTTCAGTCACTCAGTCATGTCCGACTCTTTGCGACCCCATGGACTGCAGCACGCCAGGCTTCCCTGTCCATCACCAACTCTCGGAGTTGACTCAAATTCAGTCCATTGAGTCGGTGATGCCATCCAACCATCTCGTCCTCTTCTCCTCCAGCCTTCATTCCCAGCATCAGGGACTTTTCAAAGGAGTTAGCTCTTGGCATCAGGTGGCCAAAGTATTGGAGTTTCAGCTTCAACATCACTCCTTCCAATGAACACCCAGGACTGATCTCCTTTAGGATGGATGAGCTCATAGGGATACAAATAAATTTACTGAATAAACACGTAGATGAGTGAGAACAGACAAATCTCTTGTGTGGAGGAATCCCAATTCATGTAGATATTCTGCCCCAAAGCGCATGGAACGCCATCCCAACTCCTGAAGAGTGAGCTGTGTGCTGGCTCCCTTCCATAAAGGACAGGACGGGGAAGGAGCCAAGAGGCAGCCTGACACTGTACCCTGGACACAGTGTGACTCAATCGTTCCTTCCCCAGTGGCCCTGAGAACACGAGCGGGGCAGGAGAGGAAAGCTACAGAAAGGTGATACCCGGGGTTCCATGAGCGTTCAGAACAGGCCCAGAAGGCAAGTGCATTGTCCTTTGATTGGTCTGGCTCTCAGCACCGGCATCCAGCAGCCTGACCTTCCCGGACATCAGGGTGCGTTTGGGGGCCCAGAGGCCCCTGGTGGTGCCTTCTGCACCCCTGCTGTCCATGCTGTCTGCGTCCTCCCCCTCCACCCAGAGCTGAGAACACCGAAGAAGCCCCCTGCAGCCCTGGGTCTATAAACCCAGGACCCCTTCACCACCCGGAGGCCGTGAGCCCATCCCCAGGATAGCAGATGCAGCCTCTGATGAGCTGCATTTCCGTGGAGACACTGGCCCGAAGGAGGGCAAGGACATTCTGTCCACGCGAACGTTCAGTCCGGCTTGTCTCCCTTTCTTGGCCAAGAAAAGCTGGAGAAGCTTCCGTGTTGGTCCTCCCTCTGTGTCACCCTGGCCCGGTGGTCACTCTGGGTGGACTCCCCTGAGGCTGTCCGTGTGGCCCTGACCTGCTCCCTGGCCCCAGGCCCGGTTCGCAGTGTCGGTGCCTGCAAAGTGGAGCTGACCTTCATTCCTTCTAAACCGGTGCGCTTGACTCCTGGTTCAGTTCACAGAGGAGGGCCATCAGCTTAATTCTCTGACCATGAATTGAGCATTTCCTGTGTACTGGTTTTTTTGTTTTTCCTTCCATACAGTCAAAAAACTAGAGATGAGCTGGGGAGACAGGAACTAACTCTGATTGATTACCTGCCATGGGGTGGACTTGTTAACACCTTGAAGAGTTGGCTGTCATCAAACCCTGAGAGACACCTTTTTATTCCCCTTCAGAGGAGAAACTGAGGCTCAGCAAGTGAGATCAACCCGTCTGGTCCTCACCATTAGGACCTGGCCTGAGCCGAAGCCCAGGGTTGCGCAGGTTCCAAGACAGGATCCTACCGCTGTCTACACTGGTCCTCACCTAAGGCTTTTCGTGCAGTGGGAATATGAGATCAGGAACAAGCCAGCATAGCTGGGTTTGAAAAAAATCCTTTAAAAAAAAGAGTTCATGTTGAAATGCTTCACTTTCTCCAATGAGAACTGATTTAGGAGAGCAAAGACAAAACCAGAGGGCCCGCCACTGCCTGAGATAGGAACGGTGCTAACAGGTTAGGATCTATCGTGCTAGGAAGTGTCTGTACTTTATTAATTCAAGGACTTGTAGTAAAAATACTCTTTGAACTTTTATACACCAAATATTGTCTTACTAGCTGGGGCCGAGACCCACAGCTTGCCTTCTAGTGGAGAGACGCAAAACATGCTGTGATGCTAGGAAGTATTTGAGTAGAATTCTGCAAAGTTCTGGAAGGAAGTAGGTATCCTGCCCCCTAAGGGAAAAGAGCAAGGACTCACCCAGCCAAGGGCGGCCGTGGGAGCTTCCCTGAGGAAGCGACGGTCCATCCCTGCCCGCCGGTGGGCCGCCAGTTTGCCCTGTGAGGACCAGTTTGCCCTGTGAGGAGGGGCAGGCACTCAGGGGTATAGGAGAGGTGATCCAGGCTCACACAGCAGGAGAGACAGAGAGAAGGCAGGTGGAAGGCGGCAAGGTAGGGGGCAGGCACTGAGCACAGCGTGCGGGTTGATGGTGGGCACGCCCCCAGCCCCAGCCTTCCCCGCAGGCATGACCTTCTCGCTCTCTGTCTGCACGACCTCTCCCCTCCAGGGCTGGGGTCTACCCCAGCCCTGCATCTGAGCTGGCCTCACTTGACCGTGGGAACATGGTGAAAGCGACCACAATTCAAGAGGCTGCAGTGGAATCTCCTCTCTTAATCCTGCCACAGTCCAGGGAATGAGGCCAGGCAGAGGTCCAGCTACGCAAGCCAACGGCATCCTGGGCCAGCCAGCCCCCAGCTGACGCACCAGCAGGCACAGATTCAGGTGTGGGCCCAGCTGAGATCAGCCCAGCCCCGCCCTCGTTAGAGCTGCCTGGCTGACTTAGATACAGTGAGAAACGAGAGGAGGTTGCTACTTTGTCTACTGAATGTTGGAGCGGAGTTTTAGGCTGCAGTAGCTATTTACTCCCACTTTGTCACTCTTTAGATCCCACACCCGTCACCTCATCAGAGATTTTATTTTCCAGATACTCTCCAATCTAACTTCTATATTGTCAACTTCCCCCCCAACTGTCTTATTGCCAATAGAGGTAATGAAATAGAAACACGATTCGTTTATTCTCTGAAGAACCTCCCTGACTTTTCTTTGTCTTCCAACTGACATTCCGTTTATCTAGTTCCCTAGAAACAGGGCTCTACTTTTATTACCTACCTTGTCTCCCCTCCCATACATATATTACTAGGAAATTGCTTTTGGTCTATTTTGAATGCTAGGTCAGTAGTTGTTGTTCAGTTGCTAAGTTGTGTCCTACTCTTTGTGATCCCATGGACTGCAGCACACCAGGCTTCCCTGTCCTTCACCATCTCCCAGAGTTTGCTCAAACTCATGTCCATCGAGTCAGGGATGCCATCCAACCATCTCATCCTCTGTGGTCTGCTTCCCCTCCTGCCTTTAATCTTTCCCAGCATCAGGATCTTTTCCAATGAGTTGGCTCTTCGCATCAGGTGGCCAAAGTATTGGAGCTTCAGCTTCAGCATCAGTCCTTCCAAAGAATATTCAGGACTGATTTCCTTTAGGGTGGACTGGTTTGACCNCCATCTCCCAGAGTTTGCTCAAACTCATGTCCATCGAGTCAGGGATGCCATCCAACCATCTCATCCTCTGTGGTCTGCTTCCCCTCCTGCCTTTAATCTTTCCCAGCATCAGGATCTTTTCCAATGAGTTGGCTCTTCGCATCAGGTGGCCAAAGTATTGGAGCTTCAGCTTCAGCATCAGTCCTTCCAAAGAATATTCAGGACTGATTTCCTTTAGGGTGGACTGGTTTGACCTCCTTGCAGTCCAAGAGTCTCAAGAATCTTCTCCAGCTGAACTTCTAGATCAGTGAGACCTAAGTATTTAAGTATTCGGTAAATATTTATTGAATGAACAAATAGCCGAGTGACTATAGATTCATTTGCTGAGTACCTACTGTGTGACAAAATCAAATCCGCCAATTTCTCCTTGCTCATGAATCCCACCAGCAAAGCTTGAAGAGAGAGGAGTCTGGACGGCCACGTGCAGGACGGGGAATGTCCAGCCCCAGCGACGCCAGAGGCTGCCTGGATGTTCCTGCAGGAGGTGAGCTCAGGGCTCATCCACTCCTCCCTTCATTTTGCAGTAGAGTTGAGAGGCCCGGAAATGTCTCATCTTAGCATCCATTTTGTGCCAGGAACTCTGTTAGACGTTTGTAAAGATCTGGGCTTGCTGTTCAGTGCAGGGAACCTCTTCATCAGAGGGAGGGCTTGGAATAACCTCCAGCGCCCGTGGGGCCTCATCTGGCTTTGGGATCAGGACATCTTCATCACCCTCTGTCCTGTGGCTCCCTGCTCTTTCCCTGGGCCCCTCCACATTCCCACCCCAGACTGTTGGTCTCTATGCCGATCAGCTTTGAAATGCCAGATGTTGGCGCTCCTGGCCTCCCAGTGCGGCTGGAGGGAGACCCACACTGAATGGGTAATCACTCCTCTCGCAGCCCCTGCTGAGCCCTGCCCAGGTCAAGGTCAGCTCTGAGGCTGGCTGAGCTCTTTAATAATCACTACCTTTACCGCCCACTCCAAGGGTTCAAAAGGAGGCTCAGTGTTTGCCCCATTAATATTAATTCCTATGCTGTGAGGGCTTGTTCTGATGACACAGTTTCTTGTTTAATATTCATGGTTGGAGCCAGCGGTGCACCGCAGAGTCGCTGTTGCTGGGAAAATTGGAGCGGATCACCATTAGCTGCTATTGACCATTGTGCCTGGTTTGTCTCCCTGCCCTTTGAGAGGCAGCCTCCCTGTCAGGGATGATGGGCCGGGGTCCCTCGGTGTCCTTGGCTTTCCCTCCACTGTGCAGAGGCCACAGTCCCACGCGCTGCTCAGAAGCGGGCGCAGGCATCGGAAATCCCTGGGACCCAGGCTCTGCCACATCGTAGCATCCACATTTTTGTTGGCGTTGCAAACAGTGGGCCACGCGGGTGGGAGGAATGAGGAATGATGCTGAGAGACACGAGGGGGTTGGGTGCAGGGTCAGAGTCGCATGTCAGCTAGGCTGGTGCTGGAGAAGCACCTGCGACACGGCACCTACTCGTAAATCGAAATGAGGCAGCTGCGTCCTGGAGGCAGCTGGTTCTGCTGTGTGGCACTTAGATCCCCGCAAAGGCCCTCAAGGTCAGCCTGCTTGTCAACCAGCCATTGGGATCTGGCTGACCGCTCACGGGATTTCCAGGTCTGCCTGGCAAGGGAGCCCCGATGTCCACATCTGCAGAACTAGGCACAGATATCAACACAGTGCAACGCTGTCCTGCAGCCTGCAGACCTCCTGGCACGCTTTCACTCAGTTCTGGGTCTTAAATGAGACAGAATCAGACTCTACTGCCTGCCTCCATGGACCTGAATTAATACCAAAGGTGAGCAGGAAAGACCTGGGACAGATTCCTTCCGGCTTTGGTGGCAAGACTCTCTTGGTCTGGAGACATAGCCCCTGGGTTAGTGGCCCTAACCCCGGCCACTGCCACTCCTGGTTTTCGTCTAGATTTTTCTTCATTGGTCACACTTGCTCAGTCCACCCGACAGCTCCCTCGCCTGACGCTAATGTGGAGGGACCTGTGGACCAGCTGCCCCCTGAGTCCCGGAGGGTGGTCAGGTCCCGGTGCCCAGACCGAGCACGCCTGTCCTGTCTGTCTGTCTGCCCGTCTCTCTCACGCTCTCTGTTTCTTGTGTGTCTCTCTGTCCATCTGTCTCATTCTCTCTCTCTTGTTCTCTCTCCCATTATTGCTGCACAGATGTGAGCCCAGAGCTGTCTGACAGCTCTGTAATCACCGGAGAGTTCCCTTCCGACTTTTCCCGCTGCCCCCACTGTTGCTGTCCCCGCAGACGGGTAATGACCTCCCACGGCCGGCGGCAAAGCAGGTCTGATGTCTCAGCTTGTTCTTGACTTTGTGGCTCAAAGACCTGCGTTTTCTCCAGGTTTCTTAGTGACTCTCCTGGACGTTTTCCTCGTTGAGCTTCTGGTGCTAATTACTGCCCATCGGGCAGAATTCTGTCTGGATTTGATGTCTGTTGACTGGGGATGTGCTGTTTTTCTGTTTTATTTCTAAGATGGGCCATAAATAGGAGGGATAAAGGGTCCTGTATGTTTTGAGGCCCCTGGGACTTCAAACACCCTTGCGTTGTAGAGCCCGTCTGTCCTGGTCTCAGCTCTGAGCTTCATCCCTGTCCCCTGTCTGCAGGGCCTGGGTGCTGGGAGGGAACGTGTCTCTAGACCTTCCCTGCCATCTTCATTTGTTGGCCCAGAATAATAAAAAGCCAGTAATGAGATATGTCCAGGTTCCCCAAGTTTCAGCAGTGACTTTGTCTCTCCAGCCAGTTATTTCCTTGAACCCATCTCCCAAGTCAGACCAGGCTACCTCCTGGCAGCCTCCTCCTGGCAGGTACTTAGCGCTCAGTCTACAACTGTCCCCTTAGCACCCGCCCCCCACCCCAACTCAGGGCCCCACCGATGGACTTACTCTCTGATTACTGTAAATCACAATGACAATCAATTCTTCAGCACCTATTACATCCCAGGAATTTTTGAAAATGATAGCATAGCAAGGAATTATTTCCCCAACTTTACAGAGGAGGGTCTCTTTTTCACAAATACACAATTTACCATCTTAAGCATTTCTAAGGGTACAGCTCAGTAGTACAAGAGCATTGTCGTGTAATTAATCTCCAGAACTTTTTCATCTTGCAAAACTGAAGCTCAGTCCCCATTAGGCAGCATTGGGCCCTGCCCACCACAGGGCTGACGTCAGCTATTGGATACCCTGGACCTTGCAGCCAGCCATGCCAGGACCTGGTCCTGCACATTAGCTCATCAATTAATTCAGCAAAGTTGCAGGATACAAAATCAATATACAGAAATCTGTTGCATTTCTATATACTAACAATGAGCTATCAGATAGAGAGATTAAAGAAACAATCCCATTTAAAATCATATCAAAAGGAATAAGGTGCCTAAGAATAAACCTAGCTAAGGAGATAAAATACTTGCAGTCAGAAAACTATACAACACTGATGAAAGGAACTGAAGGTGACATAAACAGAGGGAAAGACATACCGGTTCATGGACTGGAAGAATTAATGTGGTTAAAATGTTCATACTACCCGAGGCAATCTACAGAATCATCGCAATGCCCATTAGAATATCAATGACAAGTTGCACAGAACCAGAGCAAGTTCCAGTTCTAGTTCCATGCATACAAAAGACCCCAGATAGCCAAAGAAATCTTGATAAAGAACAAAACTCGAGGTACCACAGACTGGAAACGACATTATAAAGCTACAATAATCAAAACTTCATGGCACTGGAACAAAAGCATACCCACAGATCAATGACCAGGATAGACAGCCCAGAAATAAACCCACACCTCTATGAGCTTATTAAGCTATGATGAAGGAGGAAACAATATACAAGGGAGGGAAAACAGTTTCTTTAGTAAATAGTGTTGGGAAAACTGGACAGCTCCATGTAGAAGAATTAAACTGGACCACTTTCTCATACAAAAATAAACTCAAAATGGATCAACAATTTAAATATATTACCCGAAACCATAAAGATTCTAGGAGAAAATGTAGGCAGTGTTATCTTTGGCATCGGTCTTAGCAGTATTTTTGGGGGTATGTCCCCTCAGGCAAGGGAAACAAAAACAAAAATAAACAAATAGGACAACACCAAATTAAAAATCTTTTGCACAGTGAGGGAAACTTCCATTCAATGAAATGAAGAAACAGTCTACTGAATGGGAGAAAATATTTGCAAACAATCTAATAAGTGGTAACATCCAAAATGTACAAAGAAATACAACTCAACATCAGAAAAACAATGCAATTAAAAAGTGGGCAGAAGACCCGAATAGACATTTTTTTCTTTTTTAAAGAAGACATACAGATGGCCAATAGGCATATGAAAAGATACTCATCATCACCACCTGTCAAGTAAATGCAAATCCAAACAACAAGGAGATATCATCTTATATCTGTCAGAATGACCATCATCAAAGACACAACAAACAACAGGTCTTGATGAGGATGTGGAGAAAAGGGAACCCTTGTGCACTCCTGTCATGAATGTAACTTGGTGCCGTCACTATGGAAACAGCATGGAAGTGCCTCAAAAAATTAAAAATAGAACTTTTCTATGATCCAGCAAGTCCCCTTCTGGGTATTTATCCAAAGAGGAAAAAAACACTAATTAGAAAATATACATGCATCCCAATATTCATCACAGTGTGACCTACAACAGCCAAGGATATGGAAGCAACGTCAGTGTCCATCAACAGATGACTGGATAAACACATTGTGTGTGTGTGTGTGTGTGTGTGTGTGTGTGTGTGTGTGTGTCCATGTGCTTAGTCATGTCCAGCTCTTTGCAGGCCCATGGACTGTAGCTCACCAGGCTCCTCTGTCCATGGGATTGTCCAGGCAAGAATACAGGAGTGGGTTGTTCTTTCCTCCTTTGGGGGATCTTCCTGACCTGGGGCTCAAAACCGCATCTCCTGTGTCTCAGGCATTGGCAGATGGGTTCTTTACCACTAAGCTATCTGGAAAGTCCCATATATATATACACACACAATGGACTATTACTCATCCATTAAATTTTGAAATCTTGCCATTTGTGACAAATGGATGGACCTAGAAGATATTATTGGAGAAGGAAATGCAACCCACTCCAGTATTCTTGCCTAGGAAATCCCATGGACAGAGTCTGAACCTGGCAGGCTACAGTCCATGGGGTCGTGGAGAGTTGGGCAGGACTTAGCAACTGAGCACAGAAAATATCATGGGCTTCTCCGGTAGCTCGGCTGGTGAATAATCCTCCTGCAATTCAGGGGACTCTGGTTTAATTCCTGGGTTGAGAAGATTCCCCTGCAGAAGGGATAGTATTCTTGGGCTTCCCCGGTGTCTCAGATGGTAAAGAACCTGCCTGCCATGCAGGAGACTTGGGTTCGAGCCTGTGTTGGGAAGATCCCCTGGAGGAGGGATAGGCTACCCACTCCAGTAGTCTGGCCCGGAAAGTCCCATGGACAGAGGAACCTGGCAGGCTACAGTTCATGGGGTTGCAAAGAGTCAGACATGACTGAGTGACTTTCACTTTCAGAAGATATCGTAAGTGAAATAAGTCAGCCGGAGAAAGACAACTATCATGTGTTTTCACTTATATGTGGAATCTAAAAAACAAAATGAGTGAACAAACATAATTAAACAGAAACGAAGTTATAGAAGCAGAGGACAAGCAGCTGGTAGCCAGAGGGGAGAGGGTGAGAGAAGGAGTGAAACAGGTGATGGAGCTGAAGAGACACGGACTTCCAGTTACAAAGTGAGTGAGTGACAGGGATGATGTGCACCATGTGGGGAACAGAGTCATAACTGGATGGAGGTAGTTGACAGGTACCGACTTTCAGTTATAAGATAAGTAAGTACCAGGGATACAATGTACAATGTGATAAAAAAAATTAGCACTGCTGTATGCTATATATGATGGAGAAGGAAATGGCGACCCACTCCAGTATTCTTGCCTGGAAAATCTCTAGGGGCAGGGAAGCCTGGTGGGCTATAGTCCATGGGGTTGCAAGAGTCGGACACGACTTAGCAACTAAACCACCACCGCCATACTGTATATGAAGATTCTTAATAGAGCAAGTCCTGAGAGTTCTCATCACAAGGAAGATGTGCACACACACACGCTTCTACTTCTTTAATGCTGTGTCTATGAGAGGATGGATGTTCACTCAACATGAAAGTGAAAAGCGAAGTGAAAGTCACTCAGTCACTCTTTGCGACCCCGTGGACTATACAGTCCATGGAATTCTCCAGGCCAGAACACTGGAGTGGGGAGCCTTTCCCTTCTCCAGGGGATCTTCCCAACCCAGGGATCGAACCCAGGTCCCCCTCACTGCAGGCGGATTCTTTACCAGCTGAGCCACAAGGGAAGCCCACACACTCAACACGGTGGTCTTTATTTCATTAAGCTTGTACGTCCAGCCATCAGGCTGCATGCCTTAGACTCCCACAGGGCTGTAGGTCAGTTATAGCTCCATAAAACCGGAAGAAAAAAATGATAAAGCTGAGGGGCCTATGACTTCCCACAGAACCAGCCTGCCCTTCTGTGTGATTCTAAAGTCACTGTGAGAGTTTTAACTTATTTTAAGCTGTGCCTCCAGGAGGGTGGACTTCCAAAGACCAGGGACTTGCCTCTTTGTTGGAGTGGGTATTGCAGACCAGCCGTCAGTGAAGACTCTGCCACGTGCATTTCTGAACCTCGGACAGGCCGTCTGCGGTCACAGCTGACCCCCGGCCTTGCACGTCCTGGGCTCTTGTCTCCCTGCTGGGCTTGCCCCGTGACTCCAGAGGCCTTGGAGGAGGTGGTCAAGGAGGCTGGACCTGGCCGAGTCGCAGTGGTGGTGTTTTCAGGGTCCGAGTGGACACATGAAGAGTTGTCCTGGCGGGTGCAGTCCGGAGTTGTTCCAGGGGGTCTGTGGAGGAGCGTGGGTTTTCTGGGGGTTCATGTGGCCCTGAGCTGCCAGGACTCACGGGCATTCTGAGAAAGAAGCAGACCTCAGGGAGAGCCAGCTCCCTCCTGGGGGTGGGGACAGTGGCGGCCACAGCGGGGCTCCTCCAGGAACGAGGGCAGGCCTGCTCGCAGCCTGCTCTGCTCCCACTCGCCAGGGCCTCAGACTCGCCCCGGGTGTGACCTGGAGCAGGGCCCTGGCTCCAGGAGCACGGCTTCACGCCCATGACGTGGGGGCAGCACTGCGCACACCTGGAGGCACCACCAGAGAGCAAGGGGAGACTGCGGGCGGCACGCGGCACAGCGCCCGGCGTGGACACACGCTTGTGCACGTGTGTGTGGGAGCCGGTCACCGCCCTTCCCCAGTCTCTCTGTCTTCTATTCACTCCTAACCTGGATGCAGACGTGGGACTCAGACCCTCAGGCTCTCAGCTCCATCCTCACAGAGTCTCAGACTAAGGGGTGATTTGTAAGGACACTTGGTTTTATTTTATAAAGCATATATTTGCCAAAGGGCTTCCCTTATAGCTTAGTTGGTAAAGAGTCTGCCTGCAATGCAGGAGACCTGGGTTCAGTTCCTAGGTCGGGAAGATCCCCTGGAGAAGGAAATGGCCACTCACTGCAGTATCTTGCTTGGAGAATCTCATGGACAGAGGAGCCTGGCGGGCTGCAGTCCATGGCGTTGCAAGAGTCGGACACGACTTAGCGACTAAACCCCACCATATTTGCCAAACGCCCT